TTTTATTAACAATAAAATTATTCATCCCAAATGAGTTTATAAAATGTAATCTCAAATGATGTGGTGAAATCCTATGCATTGAATGTTTAGTGAGACCGAGAGAGATTCACTGATCTAACCACCTACAATAATTTAATATACAAATTTTAGCAAACAATTTGACAGGTATAACAATGCTCTTTTATTAATCAAATAGCTTAATCATAAATATAAGGCGCCTACAGTCTACGACCAACCAATGAAATTTTCAATGGTAGAGTGCACATCAATTTTATAATTTACACTGATCAAAAACAGTTGCATGACAATTAAAAAGAACTTTTCGTCAATGCAACTTGGTGGTGCTCGAAAATAATATTCCAAGTCCAAAATTGACGCTAGTTGACCCAGAGAAGATGCGGAGTAAGAGAAAAAACAGAACATGGTAAAGTGGTTTACCTTAACCGAATAACTAAGGTTATATCCACTATAAGAAAGTCTCTTACTCCTCGAGTTTGTATATTACTTGAAATAGGAGATTACAGCGGCGTTGTTGGCTTAGGGTCTTTACAGGAAAATGCTTAGATAATGTAAACTTGCCTATGTAGGTGACTTATGGGATTGTGAGGAAGACGATTCTTTTTTTTTTTTACTGTAACGTAATGGTATCTTATTTATATAAGTAATTCTTCTAGGGTTTCTTACGACTTCTTCTTCCTTTTTTGTTGATTTTATGGGCCTTTTTACTTTTGTCATGTAACGATCTCTGTCACATGACTTCATTGCACCACAGTTCTTGAATAATTACGCACACCAATATTTTATGTAATAGAAAGTTCGCATTTGTTATGGGTGTCAGACGTGATTCATTTGCCTTTAGGACATGCGGCGGGACAGGCGCTTTCACGATTGGCATTGTGGTGAGCTGATTTATCCCGAGTTGACGTTCGGCTGAGTTGGATTGGGCTGGACTGGACTTTGAGCCTTCTGGTACCGTTGGACTTTACCCTTTGGGCGCAGTCCATTCCACTCTCGTCGTGGACAACCTGCCACTCTTGTCTTGGATAAGCTGCTGCAATATCTTTGGACCACTGCACAAGTAGAGGCCTCCTGAACTTTATTGGGCTCTTGATTATGGTGGCCCAAACCCAAAATTCATTATTATCACAACTTATAATTTTAACTTCAATTAAAAGAATTAAACATAAAATTACAAGCCCTAAAACAACTAAACTATAAGCATGCAATTCAAAATTCAAACTCGTTTTTGATTTGATCCCAAAAATTTATGCACTTACTCTATCGTAATTTTTGTATAATAGCAAAATGAGACCCATGTTATTTTTTTCAAAAAATAGAAAATTACTAAATGACCAAAACATATCCAAAATTTAATCGGACATGTCCATAGAATACATAAGAAAATGATAAGGTAGGTACAATAAAATGTATTGAAATAATATTTTAAATTTTTATAGGTAATATCTTATAAAAGAAAATTAGGGCGGGGATAATCTCCGCCGGTGTTTAGTTTACTAACTTTCTTGATAGATCTAAATAGCCCGAATATCAATTCCTATATATGTGAATAGCTGAACTGATAAACATCTAAATAATCAAATTTCCATTGTAACCCGATCCATTGAGTTATAAATTATATTTTCGACGCAATATCTTCTCTAATATGCTAGTTTTAACCCCAAAAATAATCATAAATATCTTCTCTAACATTTTTCTCTTCAATTAGGACCGTTTCGAAAAACGTTTTTAAGGGAAAAAAATGGTTTATAAAAGTGAATCATATTCAATAGCCATGTACCAAAATGATGTATATAGATATTATTAATATAAAAACAAAATACACTAGTGTATGTGCATATATTATACTGCACATACGATGAAGTTTGAAAGAATGGACTAAGACTGACAAGACAAAAGCAAAAATGCCAAAAAGGGCAATGCGTAAAATAAACATACTTTAAAAAAAGCGAAAAAAAAAAACATTACCAAACAGTATCTTAAACAACATTCACATTTTGAATAGAGTTTTCATTCCAAATACAGCTCAAGGGCAGCTAAAAGGCCACTAGGATTCCTCCAACCAACAAACTTCATCTATCAAAATCAACATTGACAAATCCAAGTTGCTCAAGTCTCTGAACAAGTTCTACACAAACACTCGGATGTTCAACTCTCATTAATCATCAAGTTCCTCTCCACCTTAATAATCACACCAATGCCACGACAAAAGCTTCCAGACCAGAATAAGCTGAATCATGAAAAAAAAAAAAACACGAGACTATACACCAGGTTAAAAGAGTCGAGACCAACACTCTCACAACCCCCTCTCCAACAAATCGAAGTTGACAACAGCAGAATAGTATTGAGCTTCGAAATGCTAATTTCTACACAGGAATGACATCGATCTTCGAAGAGTCCTCGCATCTCAAAATAATGCCCTCAAGGCTGGCAGGAAGAATGCATTTAGCCCACTGACATCCTGTAGAAAATGGCTCCGGTGGAGGAACAATCATCAGCACATTATCATTTCGCTGGACAACTCCCATCACACTAACTGTACTGCCTTCTTTGATGTACCTATTGCAATCAATCATAGAAAAGAGGCATATACAATGTTAGATGATAAAATTGTTTTATTCCTTTCTTCATTCCTTTTGGGGGTGAGGTGGTTTTTTTTTTTTTTCTCGAAATGAACCTCACATGTAAAGATACATTGATCATTTATGAGAAACAATCATCAACACCTACACAACAACTTCTAATCCTCAATATCCCACTTTCAGAATAAACCTTCTCAAGAATACTTTTAGGAAAGCATTAATTGTCACCAACTTTTTACTTTTTAATTGCTAAACCTAATCGAGTTTGCATTTCTCAGTAATTTCCACTTATGGATTGTGCAATTGGAAATATAATGGGTTTGGCACAAAACAAGATAGAATTTTACCCTTCTTTGAGTCGCATTATACGATCATCGCTCGAGAGCTTTCTTTCTCCCATCCACCTGATGAATTCTGGAGACATATCCCTGTTTGACTGATTGATGTCAACAACAACGGATTCATCGACGTATGGCGTCACCCTAGCACCATAACCAGTCTTAACTAATGCCCTCAACCCAGACTGGAAGTCAGAAATGTAGAAATCAACCACATGCCTCTGCAGTTATATATCGAAAACATCAGTCATGCAGAAAATCAATAATTTCTTCCACCCTAACAACTAGCTAGAGAAGGGCACCAAGTGTAATACTAAAGCTCAATCACGTATGGCTGCAACATAAAAAAATGCAGATGATTGATGAAGGGAAAACTGCTAAATAATGTGCACAACTAAAACAAAAAGCATGATCATTCTTCGAACGTAGGAACACTCATTGAAAATCCTATATTAAGGTTCTGATTTCCTGGTTTTGTAGATGAATGACAATTCAGAAAAATCACAATGGCAAGCCTTTCTCACCTCAAGTGACCGGATACCCCAAGTAAAACGGCGATGAGTGGGGTTCGCAGCTTTTGAATCCCATCCTCGGTACTCGTATAAACTTGTCGATGTATAAACACATCTAGGAACCTTTTGGAATGAGGACTCTAGAGGTACATTTCCGCAAGTAACGACCTTCAAGGAATCAACCCTCCCTTTGTTAGAACAACATGAGCACATTTGCAGAAATCTAATGGATGCAATTAGGGAACGTATAAACTGCTTGATCAACCAAACAAATCTTCAGATGATATATCCTAAACATTGGTGTATCTTTTCTCCAATGGGATAAAATTAGACCATAGAAATTATCAGAAAATGCAAAAAGGAAACAAAACCATTTTACTTGCTTATTACCATGCCTAGCACTATTGCAAAACATTGAGGAAACAAATTTGCCTTCTCTACCCAATTTTTTTGTTTTCATGGGTTCTATGAGGTTGATGTTTTGGATTCAAAATTTCACCCTCCACCCAAATAAATACCATTGTAACGTACATTTGTCATCATTTTGACAGAATCCTTATCCACCACCCATGGAAGTCCCCCCACTATTGGACTTCCAAAAGAACAAAACAACACTTGGTTTCAAACCTCCATAAGCTTCAAGAAATCATGCATTGATTCCATTTCTCCATCAACCCAAAAATCATTAGCTTATTACAATTAAAGCCTCTAAGGAATTAGAAATTGGACCAGAGACGTCCACAAAACTTCACAGATTAGCTTTCTGGAAAAAATTGGAACTAACATCTTGTCTAGCAATAGCATACAGCTTGAAACTTGATGATCAATCAGTAAACAGAGAACCTGAAAATATGTATACTTAAAGCATTCTACATATAGGCAGGCACACACACACACACACAGAGACATATAGAGAGAGACATAGTTTCAGAATTTGTCAAGATGGTAATTACCCCAGAAACTTTAACAAATTGGCCGTCCCTGGCAGTTCTAAGCTCAGCATCTGGATAACGAGCAATGAAACCTGTTATAGCTCGTCTTCCCCAACAAGTATTCCAGGTGAAGACCGTACCGACAGCAACAAAAAGAATAACAACAACAATGAGAAGAATTGAATTGTGGACTGCCCCAAGGATAAAACCACCAGCAATGAACCCCATCACAAACAGCAAAATTATCGACCAAAGAATTGCCTTTGGAAAGCTCTTTCGGAATGAATATTCCTCCTCCTGGGAAAGATGAGTAACAGCTTGGTTGTGAACCATAGAGATACTGTGCAGCTTGAGTGATCCTGTAGAGTCCAATTGGCCAGATACCTTTCGAGGAGCCCCTGATGAATTAAGTGGGCCAGAAGAAATTGGCCCAGAAGTAATGAGGCCTGTGGCTGGAAGAACTGGAAGAAGAGGTCCAGAATTTTGGCGGGAAACAGCTGTTGCCCCTCCAGCTTGAGGACCTGATGACTTCTTCATCGGTTCCCCATGTTTACTTAGTGGCCCAGAATTGGTCTTCTTTAATGAAACTGAACTGGGAACACTACCAGAAGAAACCGAACCCATCCGATTTACGGAATTCAACTGGCCTGAGTGAGATGCAGCTCCACCAAACGACCCTGTCCTCGAAGGGGCATTATTTATAGGTCCAGATTTTCTTGACCTGGAGGAATCCCCAGGGATATCAAACATTTTACCGAGTTCTCCGGACTTCTTGATATCGCCACCAGTATAAGGCATGGCAACCGAGCTCATTGTAGGAGGCCTTTCTTTTGGCTGCTCAGGCCGACCCGACACATAAAGGCCATTGCTCAATTGATGGGATGGGAATCGGGAGCCCATGATGCTGACTTTTTAGAAGCCAAATGTAATGGTGTGCACAGCAGTGCAACAACAGCCAAGAAATTCAAATGATCAAAACTTAAGGGCAGAATCCAGAACCTAGCAAATGCACTTCCCCGGTATAATTATACCTAACCAACAATAGAACAGAATAAGCTTGATAAGATTTACATCTAAGACGTGAACAATGCCTAAATCTTTACTTTAAGGTATTGGACCTCCATCTGAAAATTAACAAAAAGGCAACATAAATTTGCTCCACTTGCTGAATTGCAAATCAATATAAAGCAGCAACTATCAAAAATGTAAAAAGAGAGTGAGGGTATGATTCCCTCTCAATCAAATCTACCAAACAACGAGTCATAAAGAGATGTATTTACTTTACAAAATAGATGTGATTCTAAATCATCTAAACAAAGAACGAACAACCAAAGAAAAGAGTCAACTTTTTCCAAAAAACATGGCATAAACAACATCAGTTTTACTGACAGGGGGACTCAAAATCAAACACGAATAAAAGGATAAAAAAAAGCCAAATGCACCATAGATCTAAAAACGAACAAATGAACCCCAGATACACAAATGATGAACAAGATCCAGTGGCTAACGAACCCCTAGGAACTGCCGTACTCAGTAACAATCCCTTATAAACTGTATATCGAGATCCCAGTTAAATTAAAACAAAAAACAACAACCGAATATATACACAAACACCCAGCGTATAGATTCCCTTGTGAATCGAACATTCAAATTGCCAGATCCGAAACCAAGGAAAAAGACAAACCAACAACACAAAAGCACATACCCAGTACTCAAACCACAAAGAAAAGTGCAATGTGATAGATCAGAGCACACAATTCACACGTTTATATATGGAAACGATACCATTTTAATATACGCAGAATCCCAGAAACTAAGATCTAAAAATTCAATTCGCAAAAATGGGCATTTCCACATTTGACATCAGAATCCCAAGAAATCTGAAAATCCATGTATTATGTAAGGAAAGTTAAAAGCACCCACATTTCCATTTTGACCAAGCATCAGTGAAATTAGAGAGATCAGAGACCCCTCGCAGGGCACCGGAAGCTGAGAAAGAAGAGAATGAGAGATTTTAGATATAGAAAGAGAAGGGAAGCAGAGAGGCATACCTGAAGAAGAGAGTGAGCTTGTAATGTCAAGAAGTGCAGACATGGTGGATCCGAGAAAGAGAGAGAGAGAGAGAGAGGGGTGCTTTTTCTGCAGAGAAATTTTCCGAAGGAAAACTCAAAATGGGGATGTGATATATTACTCACTGAGAAGGAAAAAAAGTGGAAACTGAAAACACACACTCCACCTTCCTCCTCTGCTGCTCTTTCCAGTTTTCTAATACTTCAAATATAATGACAATTGAGACCCTCACTCTGTCTACAAATATCAATTCTGCCACTGAAATTACAAATTGTTGAGAATTTCCCTTTCCCCCATTGTAAATGTAAAAATGAAGATGAGAGGTGAAAGTGGAAGAAACCCAAAAAAAAAAAAGAGAGAGAAAATGCTCTAAAAACCAAAGAACTCCAACAAGTTTCTTATCAATTGATTGTAAATCTAAATATAAACTAGGGTGAAACAAACCCAAAATATATATATTTATATATATATATATATATATATACATTTACAAAAAAGAGAGAGAAAATAAAGTTACTGAAAACCATTTTAAAAAAATCAGAGATCCAACCATTTCCTTATGAAGTGAAGTGGGGTTTTTATTACTGCACCATATCAGTAGTAAACGGAACCAAAATTTTATCTTAAGGAGAGCTAAACAATGGCATAACTAAAAATTTTATTAACTACATAAATAGTTATACAAAATTTATCAAAATTAAATTTCAAACAATACAATTGTAAAAATTATTTTGGATCATAAAATTCAAGGATCAATTCTTACTTTCTTAAAAATTATTTGTGACAGCATCATGATCCTTTCATTTTCACGTTATGCTATAATGCAATTACTTGACAATAATTTATCTTTACAGATAATAATTTCACACAGTAAAAAAAAATTGAGTAGTGAGTGAACATATTATTTTTTTATATAAGTCACATTTATAATCTAGTTTTGCAAAAAATTTACATTTTTTTTTAACTTTCTTTGATTATTAAACTCGTCCAACCAAACATTTTTGGTTATAAAATCATCACTTATGTATAGGTTACATTCCCCATTTGACTATTAAATATTTAATTCATTGATCTTTTCGAACACACTAAGTAAATTGTCTATGCATAAATCTTTTTAGAACCTAAGAAGAAAGAAAAACATAGATTTTTTTTTTCTTAGTGCCGCCCATGATACCAGCTAATGAGTTCAAAAACTGATATTATTAAACCGGGTTTACAAAACCCAAAATAGGCATTGCAATTTCAATGCTGTCATTAGTATCTTAAACTTGATGGATCAATAATAATCTTTTGTTTGATATGTGTTGGTTTATAGATTCGAACCGAGACATCATGGTGGTTTAATCGAATTCAAGAGTACTTAAAAGACATGTTTTTGGAGGTGTTATATATATACCATTCAAAAGATGTGTCGGTTAACTCATTAACAAGCATATTCTTACATTGTCGTTTTTAATTAAACAAATTAGTTGCTTGTATAAACCCCACTATAGCATCCATTCCACCCACTCAATTTGAAAACTCTTCCAACGTTCAAATTCTCTCTCTCTCTCTCTCATACATAATGTTTAAAGAATTTTTTGCACTGCTGAAAGTTCAATGTTGATTTCTCTTGTATAACAAACCCGCATCATTAGACACATGTAAATGATAGGTGGTGAAATATCAAAATTTGAAAATAAGTAAAATACTTTATACGACAATACAAATAAGAGAAAAGAACCTTAGTCTACAATTTTGAAAGTAGTGGGCATCAGTTGATACTGTGTTTTGAAAGTATTATTATTATTATTATTTTTAGCTTCTTTTTAAGAATTTTTCATTAGTAGCAATTAATTTTAAATTTTTGCTTTTTTGTTAATGGGGCTTACTCCCTTCTTCTAGTATAATTTATGTACTAAAATGTTTCTAGGTTGCTTTTGCTAAATAGTAACTAAATGGACTATAATTTTTTGAAGAAATTATTTTTTTACTTAAAAAAGTTGCTTGAAAAAACCGTTATCAAATGGTATCTTAGTTTATACAATTTAAAATTTTCACATCCTATTTACTAATTCAAATTCTTGCTTCATTCCAAATCTAAAATCAACTTTGTCCACATTTACTAATTAATTGAACTAGGACATGGTAGGTTATTTGCAACCTAATTAAGGGGTGACATAAAAAAGAGAAGTAGAAATTTACAATGGAGCTATGTTTAAACGAATAACTAAATAAAGAAATCCACGAAAATGCTAGATGAACAAACTACTAACAAATAATGTTGTTTTGGTTGTATAGTGATTGATTTAACGTATTGTTAAGAATAAAGACAAATGGACTGCTTAGTGACATAAAAGGTAACAACAGTTCACCGTTCGCCCATAAGACAAGAGGATTCAAATTTGGGAGTTCACACTTATCCGAACAAGAAATTTTGACTTAGCTAAGATAAGAAGGTGGAAAACCATAATCAACATTCGCATCACATATATATTAACTTTTTAACTTAATAAATCATATTTAACCGCTACCTTAAGAGAAGGTTTATTTCATGAGTGTGTTGTGGACCTACTCTTGTTGTCCAACCCATCATCAACATATTAACTTACAGATAAAGTATCTTTGTCAAAGTAGTTGTGTATGTATAACATCTAAACGAGAAACACGAAAACCTCTGGCTTATTGAAGTGGACTCCTTTCCATCCTACATCTTATTTGTTCCTCGGGATTGGATATCAATCATTCATACCAAACACTTATTCTGATTACCATTGAGTGGGGCAGTTCAGTTCAGTGGACTCCTGACCAAGCTTCTTATCCTTATGGGGTTAGATGTTTAAGTTTTAAAGTTTATATTAGAGTTCGAGGGTTGATCGCTCTGCTAATCTAATAAAGTTCGTTTTCGACAGATGTAAGTTAACAAACGCCGTTAAGAGTCTCATAATCATATCAGTGGGTGTCTATCTAAGTGGTCGCTAAGCACTCTCTTTTTTCCTCATCCTTTAACAATAAAAAAACACTTAATTCTGATTTAATCTTTTTAACAAAATTGTTATAACATAATAGTGCATATACAACTAAAAGAGTGTTCTTATAAATTAATTATAACATGCGAGAGACGATGAAATTCAAATCCGTGATTTTAAAGTTAAACAATGAGGAAAATGACCTTTAGATCAATAACTTACCTCAATTATATCATATAACTGGCCAAGACAAACACTGGGTAGTATGAATATCTGTTGGCACATGTTAGCTTTTGAACCACTTGGCTAATGTACTGTCTGATAAACTTTTTTTAAAGTGTCTTATGGATCGGTTGGATCCATAAGAACCTACCTGTAAGGAAGGATAAAGGGGTGATCTAATTAGACCTCAATGGGCTGTTTGGGATGGACTTTATGGGGGGATTGAATTGCATTTATTAAACTCTTTTAAACTCAAAGTCAAGGTTTTGTGCATGAGATAAAATAAGTTATAATATCCAATCTTATATTTGGTAGGCGGTATAATCAATTAAAATGTCTATAAATTAAATATGAATATGGATATATACAATTCAATTCATAAAAATTTAATCCGATTAATATATACGTAATATATATTTGTTGGTCTCTATTATATATAATATATACATATATTTATATTGCTTATTTGTATTTGATATAGAAAAAAAGATTATTTATTAAAATTTTAGTGAAATACCATTATGAATTGGATCGAGTGTCTGATTATAGGCGGAATTCGATCTGTTGAAGGACTTAACACCAACTTTAGTCGAATAAGTTTATAAATGTAAATAACAACTTTATTGGGGAGTAGAATGTTAAAAATGGACTTAGGTACCA